AGAAAGAAATGTTTCCATCGTTGAACCTCCGCGAAAAACCTGAAGACGGTACTGTCGCCAAACTGTTGGGATCGTATATAGCTGCATGTAATCTCGGTAAAGGTAATGCTCCTTCTATTAATACAATAAATAAAAAGGTAAATAATTTACTCTTGGGTTTAGCAAGGTGTAGTCTCCATGATCATGTGTTGTTTGGCCTAGCAGTGTTTCTTTCAACATCAGTATGCAGCTGTTGGGGTGCGTTGAGGACATTGGCGGGTCGGGGGAGGACCACCTGTCTCCTCCCCCTTCCTTCCCGAAAAAAATAACCCAATAAATAAAATAAAATAAAATAATAATAATAATAATAATAATAATAATTATAATGATAATAATAATAATAATAATAATAATAATAATAATAATAATAATAATAATAATAATAATAATAATAATAATAATAATAATAATAATAATAACAGTAATAACAGTAATAATAGCTACATTAGTGATACTTCAACACTTTCTTCAGCGAATTCGGTGAAGTTGCTGCTTTTTTTTTTTTAGTCATTGAATGTGTCTCATAACTTCTTCACCTTCAACTCAAGGTGTAAAGCAGCCCACCAGGTGTACTAATGAGGACCACTACACTAAACTTACACTATATACTCAACTCACTGTGGTCAGGAGCAAACTGAAGAATAATAAACATGTTAATCACTCAAGAATATTAATGGCTGGAATTTTACTTTAATTTACTTTTTTTTTCAGTTTATACCTTTAGTTTTATATCAGTTATTCAGTAAAAATATTTTCTTCCTTGGATATATTGATTGTATGGGTTTGGTTTGTGTGTGTGAGTGAGTGTGGTAGCGTTTCAAGTTATAACCGCCCTTTAATATCATACACGGTTTAATTGCAGCATTTAATTATTTTCTATTTAGTGTACATTAAGTTTATCGTATGCTAATGAAAGTCAAATAAATAATAAGTGTAATGGATATACTTCAGCGGTTAAATTTGTTCCAAGGTGGAGGAAGTTGTATGTCACTTGTTTGTGGGAATTTCTGGCTCCAAGGGGAAACTTCGTAAAAATTAGACACCTCAGATTATTTCACCTCAATATTAGTCTAATTTAACCTATCTTAACCCAGATATAGTTAAGGTGATTAATCAACAGGTGAACTAAACTAGGGGTGCCTAATCTTCACGTGATTCGAATGCAATCGTACATGTTAACTCAAAACATTGTACAAATTTCTGTCCTAAAACTCCACTAACCAATAATTCCTTCCTTAGTTATTATTTTTATATTGTTAAGAGTTAATTGGTGATATATAATTTGGGTTATTATATTGATTTACTAGTATAATGGGTCTTTATTTATTTACCAATGAGTGTTTACAGGTGTTAACTAAGTGTGTGTGTGTGTGTGTGTAAGCTCCGAGCACAGGTGTTTCGGCAGGTGACGTCATATATACCTACTAACACACACCTGTACTTCAGTATGGTGGTGCGACGCGGACGGATACCTACACCGAAGTGGATTATGTACTCTACTCCACCATCCATGTACTTGCGTGTTGTAGTCAGAGTACAAGTGGTACTCTAAGTGATGGCTGGTGTATGTGTACTCAATATCACCATCTTTTTATCTACGTGTTGTTGCCAGAGTACAATTAAGAGATGAGTCATGTGTACTCTCACTACATTTCCACCTACACTTTATGGATCGAGAGTAAGTCGTACTCTTAAGTGATGACTGATATGTACTCTTCTTCCCAATCGTACTCAGTAACCAGTGGCGCGTGCTTACTCTGCCACACTGGCCATAAACCAACGTGTTTTGGATTAACCACAGGAGTGACAGATGATAAGGGTTATCACCATCGGGAAACACAAGTGACGCATATGGTGTCATACAGTGGATAGGAGAGAAGAAGAGCTTTGTGGTGTGGTGACGTAGTGTGTGTGGTGATGTGTGGTGTGGTGTGGTGATGTACTGTGTGGTGTGGTGAAGCGTTGTGTGGTGTGGTGAAGCGTTGTGTGGTGTGGTGAAGCGTTGTGTGGTGATGTACTGTGACAAGGAATCGAATCGTAAATCATATTGATATTTCGTATACTGAAAAACTCGCCTCTTGTCATATTTATCCGGATTTTGGTTTATTGTTGCGAAAAAACAAACCCGCTAATGATTTTTTTTTCTATTAATATCTGGACAGTGAGGAAAATAAACCCAGTTGTTGATATTTTAGTTGAAAGTCGAGAAGATTCAGGTGTTGGTGAGTTGCCTTGTGTTATGGGTAATGGCGCCCGCACATCAATACGTTTATACAATATGTAACTAAAAACAATGACGACTCCTGTTATTGTTGTCGGTGTGGAGATAATTATATAGGGATTAGATGATAAGATTGGATTAATTATTATGTATAGTGGTGTGTGATGTTGATCGATGATTATTGTTATTGTATAGTGAGGATAGATTATGTATAGTGGTGTGTGATGTTGATCGATGATTATTGTTATTGTATAGTGAGGATAGATGGACACTCTCTCTCTCTCTCTCTCTAACCTAACCCAACCCAAAACAAAGGCAATATACTTATTCAGGAAACTCATCATTTAAGTAATCTACATAGACACTACAGGTAAACAAAACACCTACAAAATAGCGTCAAATTTGCACTAACCCATAACACAGGTGAGAGGGGGGGAGGGGGGGTGTTAAGGCAGACGTAGGTACCAATATCTCGCTATGAAAATCTCGTAATTAGACAGGTAATCTCTTAATCACAGGTGTCTCAGGTGAAAAAAAAAATAACATGACACGAATCACTCAGGATATTCAGGTTGAGGTGTTATCACGGAGTCAGTTTTTTTTATGAAAGGTAACACGTGTGAGTTAGGGTGATGTTTGGGGAGTGGGGAGAGGATAAGAGAGAGAGAGGAGGGATGGGAAGGAGATAGTGAAAGAGAAGGGGAATATTGTGAAAGAGAAAGGATGAGAGGTGAAGGGAAAGGTAAGTGGGAGTATGTCAGGTGTGAAGAGAATGTGTATGTGTGTGTGTGCCTGTGTGTGTGTCTGTGTGTGTGTGTGTGTCTGTGTGTGTGTGTAGGAAGAGAGTTTGACCATTATGAGGTTCCCTCCCTCCTCCCTCCCTCCCTCCCTCCCTCCCTCCCCTCCTTACCTGTCTTTACCTCAGTTATCTTACACCCTCATCTCTCTCTGTGTGGTCTCACCTTGAAAGAGAAAGCTGCTCTATAGCGTGATGGTCTAGTTAAGGGCAGTGTGGATACAGCATAATGGATACAAAGCCCTTGATGCCCAATGAAGTATCCTGTCTGGCATTGTGTTCGATCGTCTTCACTTCCTGATCTCTAAAGCTCGGTACCCAATCACAGCTGGGTGGACAAGAGGCGCCCCGGATGTGAGCTTTGTATCAGTTTAACCGTATCATCTTGTGTTTTTATCTGTGGATGATTAGACGTCATAGAACAATAGTGACCTTGGTGTAAACTGATTATAAACAACGCCTATTCATTAAAGGGTAGAGATCTATTTATGGGTTAAATTACAGTTTGGAGGAGAGGTGGAAGGTAAAGACTGGGATAGATGAGTGACCTTGGATGATGTTAAACCTGGGACGATTGATTAAAAAAAAACCTTCAAATCATTTGGAGTGGTGGGCCGTAGTCACCAACCCTCAGACGTAAAACTGAAACCTTGACTGATAAGTTGAAAAATTAACGAAAAATTACGTATTCCTTCTATCTTTTATTTCTTGTTTTGAGGTAAATATCATTAAACACTCGTGAGGACAGGTACACACAAGTGTCTCAAGAATCACTTAAGTTAACTTCCTTTACAGTTATGACTGGTCCTGGGAGGGTGTGGAGGCCAAGACGTGGGTTAGTTCTTGTCTGTGTTGGTGGGGTGTGTTGGTGGGGTGTGTTGGTGGGGTGTGTTGGTGGGGTGAGGTTGTCCTTGTATACTGATAATATTCATGATCACATTCTGGTTTGTGTGTGTGTGTGTGTGTGTGTGTGTGTGTGTGTGTGTGTGTGTGTGTTGACAACTAATCCGACTAATTCTTCCTCCAAACACCACGCCAAATTATTTTTTTTTATTACTTACCAAAAATTATATATATATTGTCATTTTATTCTCATATGTATATTTGTATGTGGTTATGTGTGTATGATGGAGTGGAGGAGGAGGAGGAGGAGGAGGAGGAGGAGGAGGAAGAAGAAGAGGAGGAGAAGAAAGAAGAGGAAGAAGGAAGGACATGGTTAATTTCGTGAGAAGGGGGAGTAGGGAGAGAGGAGGGAATAAATGAGATAAACTTTAATAAATAGTAAAACAAATAATAAAACAAGATTATATTGCGTGTGATAATTGTTTGGTTAACTTAGCAACTTGGTTAAGTATGGCGTGTGACTTGTTATGAAGCAACGATGGGCTAGTCTATGTATACTAAAGTCTACTCTGTATGCTGTGTGTGTGTGTGTGTGTGTGTGTGTATGTGTGTGTGTGTGTGTGTGTGTGTGTGTGTGTGTGTGTGTGTGTGTGTGTGTGTGTGTGTGTGTGTGTGTGTGTGTGTGTGTGTGTGTGTGTGTGTGTGTGTGTGTGTGTGTGTGTGTGTGTGTGTGTGTGTGTGTGTGTGTGTGTGTGTGTGTGTGTGTGTGTGTGTGTGTGTGTGTGTGTGTGTGTGTGTGTGTGTGTGTGTGTGTGTGTGTGTGTGTGTGTGTGTGTGTGTGTGTGTGTGTGTGTGTGTGTGTGTGTGTGTGTGTGTGTGTTACTTTCATTATCTATCTCCACTTATGTCTTGCTATAATTCGTTATTCTTCCTCCTCTTTATCTTTTTTGTTCCCATAATTCACTCAGACGTAAGAGTGAAAAGGAAGACAGATTACTGATATTTAGACAGATATGGACAGAAATCTATGGAAAAGCTGTTTAGCGAGACGAGTCAATGCTCAACTTTTTTTTTTCTCTAATGTTAATAATGTTTCGGCAGACACTCCCTCCCCCGGACCCCCCGTGGAGACTGAGAAGGAGGACCACCACCAGCAGGAGGATAAACAGAAGAGGGAGGAGGACCGCACCCAACAGGATCGCTGCGTCGAGGTCTATCCGGAAACGGTCAGGCAGCGACAGAGGAACATGATGGCATCCTCTAACAAGGTGTGTGTTTGTGTCGTGTCAGTTTTGTTTTGTTTTGTGAATGGAGTTAAAAAATATGTGTACTTTCATGTGTGTGTGAAGTAAATGTTTGAGTGTACTGTATGTATTTTCTGTGACGAGGGAGAGAGAGAGAGAGAGAGAGAGCCCCACAATATTGGCGTAAACAAGACACACCTTATGAGAGGTGATATACGTGTGGTGACGTCACAGTGATGTCACCACCATAAGGTCAAGATGTAAAGGTCACAGTGATAAGACAGCGTGGGATTGTACTAAGGGATGACCCGAGTTGGTCATGATCTAACCCGTTCGTGACGTCACCACACACACTCATCCTCTGACCTCACACTTAGGGAATTTTACTCGAGGGCCTCTATATCCGGAGACGGAAGCGTAAGTACTGGTGTGCTACGGACGACCTGAAGTATGAACAATCCCTTAGATGCTCCCCTTGGTGTTCTTCCGGGGAGCTGTCTGTACGTATGTCACCAACACCCTTACACCTGACCAACTGACCTTTCGACTAAACCTTCCCTCCGATTTCCATACCAACCCTGACACCTAATACATAAGAACACCAATTACTAAGGTATAAAAAATTTACCATAACAACACTCTTAACCACTGTGGCTACATCATACCTGTTGATAATATAACGTAAGTGTGTATTTTAAGTATTTATTTACCTGGTCAACACTACAGGTATTGTAGTGGCTCCATGTTTTAAACAATACCTCGTCAGATATTGGTTTCTCTGAGTCAGGCTCGCAGGTAAACAAACTCACGCACATGAGGCAACACAACACTGTACTAACTCAATTTATACCTCACTCTACTGACTGTGTGCTGGATGACTTACCCTCGAGGAAATGACCAGGTAAATTTTTTTCCCAATGCCTTCACCTGGGGTCATCGAGAGCGAGTGAGAGTGACTTAACAGTGAAAAAAGTTTGACTATATGACGGTAATAGCAACAGACAGTGACCAAATTTGGGTTTTAAACTTATAATCTAGGTCACACTGCCGACTCATTCTCTCTCTCTCTTGTGTGTGTGTAAGTAATGGGTCATGAATAGGCCAAATGCCTCTAGTCCTGGAAGGTTGTATCCCGAGTGAAGGTAAACTACAGGTGCTTGAATATTAGTTACCTGTATAAACATTAGTAGTTACCTGTATAAACATTACCATTTACCTTTACACTATAAACAACTAAACAAGGTGATTCTAGCATGAGTCAGGTCTCGTGCTGCCGACCGTCACTTTCACTTTTTCAGTTTTACGGAGAAAAAATACAACTTTTGCTTCTTTTTTTTTATCGAATCAGACAATAGCGTGTTCGACCTGTGTGACCTCTATCCAGTAAATCTCGGGTGGTTTCTTGACAGTTGAAAGTCTAATAATGTTACCAATAAATATACTGATAATTACTGCACCAACGTGGCTATTTTTGGGGGGTAGTTTTGCCTATGGTGTCAATAGGCGTAACTACTGTATATCCTGCTACATTTTATTCATGTTTGGGATTTATAAGTTGAAAATTATCTCCCATTGGTTGTGTAAAGGTGGTGTGAGGAGGAAGAGGAGGGGTGTGTTCTGAATAATCTGTGAGACATAGGACAAATGGTTTGCCTTAGTAGGGTGAGGACTAGCTCAAGGGCCAGGCACGCACTCACCCACCCTCCTCCATGGCTCAGTATAATGTAGACAGTGCCGGGGACAACATCCTTACCAGAGTTTATTTAAGGTTAATGGCAGAGAGATATCTAATCACCAAAATTCTGTATTGTAGGTATGTTCCTGTGCCTTGATTTCACCAACAAGAAGTTTCTAAGTCTTTAAAGAATAATTTACTTAAACTGAGAGTAAGAAAATACCCAATTGTTGGAATATGGTCGTGATTATTAATTCAGAGTTTATAATTCCAGGTTGACATCAAGAACTGGAATTCCTCAGGGGCCAACCACAACAACAATGAGAGCCAGACGAGCCCCGCCAAGGTCAAGAAGTTCCTGCCCTCGGTCAAGGCTTTGAGGAACCAATTCGAGACCGGCAAAACCAACAACAACAGACCCGAGACGAACGGCAACATCAGCGTCAACAGTAACAGCACCCTCACCCTGAGTCACAAGTCCTTGGGCTCCACCTCCTCCCTGGCCAGCTCCACCCTTGAGAAGACCAGCAGCACAAACAGCCTCAACTCTGCCGGGGGCTCCATGGAGAACCTCCTGAGTCCCTCCCTAGACAACTTGAGACAGGTGGACCCCAATGAGCCTGTGGAGCCTATCTTCAACCAGTTCAAGAAGGTCGATGAGGAGCTGAGAGAGCTTATGAGTAAGCCTCCCTCCACCACAGGATGGAACCCCGTAAGTAAACAAGTATTTGGACACAACAGAATTCACGTAGGGAACACGGGAGGTACTTAATGACTGGCGAATTCAAGGGTTTTGTTGTTGGTGTCCACAGTGTAGCTAACCAACATAGCCTTGTATGAGAGGCAAGGCTGTGTTAGATCCATTGCTTTACTGTATGTGTTCAGCTTTAGCTCACATGAGGCACAAATCTGCTTGTTAGCTGACGAAGGCTTTGTCAAGATGTACAGTAGAGTAAATAATAGAATGAATCTATCTCTAGCATTAAGTCATAAGAAGTTGTTTATTAATATTAAACTCATGTACAGTAATCATATCAACTTCATTATTGATTTATAAATTAATCCTATACTTATAGATTTTTGGACAAATTATTATACAGTATGTACAAGTGAAATGTCACTCAATGTCACTGATTGGAAATATATACAATTGTACCCTGTATATAAAACCTGATTTTAAATAGAATTATACTACAGTGGAAACTTCATTTAACAAACCAAATATTAACTCTCAAAGTTATATCCCTGAACCTTTAAATGATTTAGTTATTATAGAGTATTTACAACGTCTCATCTCCCACAGCGACCTTTGCTGAAGAGACTGTACTACATCCCTGAGGCCCCTAAGATGCAGAGTCAAGGCACCACCTACATCAACATCGAGGGCTACCTGGAGAAGCTGCCATCTGGCCGCAAGAAAGCGACCTTCTGGAATGCCTGGAAGCGTCGGTACTTTGTGGCCAAGGAGGGTGTTCTCTACTACTACCAGGTGAGATGGAGCAAAACTTTATACTTTTAACCGTTATCGCGAAAAGTAACGATTCACAAGTTAAGTGAATGTACTACTGTATATTATAACAATGGACGTCTTCTCTACCATTACTTAGAAGAATTAGGAAAATCTCTATTTGTTTTATTATAACCAAATGAAGAATAAATGATTTATTTAAGGTTATATGTATTAATGCTGTGGTATTACTGTCACCTCTGCTCGCCCACACAGAACACACAGGCAGAGAAACCCAGCATGAAGATGACGTTGATGGGAGGGAAGGTGGAGTGTATGGAGCCTAACATGGTTGGTGTGGATGACGGGGTAAGTACCAGCCACTGAGCCCATGATACTCCTTCACTCTCTGCTCCACCAAGCTCTAATTCTCGTGTTCCTTTGGTTTACTAAACACATATGATGCTCGTACCATAAAAGAGCTCCACTGCAAGCCAGGAGGTGGGTGAACAGTCATCTGGCATAGATTCCATACTCATTGCAGGATAGAGAGGAATGCTAGATGCTGTTGACTGCCCCTGTGACGAAATGTCTTTTTATGGTACGGACGTTAGTTTCCATGTACAGTAGACTAAATTTTACGTAACTGGTGCTCTCATGTGTTTCAAAAGGTCGCTGTAAATAGATAATATATTTGTATATAATTGATTTTTTGGTACTTTAAGTTGTTTCCACATTATCTTCTGTGAATTCAAAACTTAGTTGGCTATCAGTATCTGTTTACTTTGTAGATACTAATGTAGTGTATGCGTGTAATATATGCTTGTATAGTTCTAGTAAACTTCATTCAACATGTACAAAATATTTCATCATTACTAATCATCTCTAACAACTGTACTGTGTTCCCATATTGACGCTTCAAGGGATTTAGTATATGTAGTCTCAAATATTAAGACGATTTCAAGTATTAATCCTGCCTTTGTATAGTCGTGCTTCCATTATCTGTCTGTCGCTGTGTAGTCCAGTATAGCAAACTGAGTAGAGTCACGGTATGGCATACACAGCAGTATGGTGCTCTGTATACGCGACTATCTTGTGATTCCTCGACGTATATGCTGGCTGTGTTCCCATCTACTCCTGTGTGATGACTGCAATTGTCTTAGATGGTGTACTTCGGCTTGATTCTTAAATGCACGTTAAATTGCCCCCAAACTTGCAATGTCAGAGAGAACTTCTGACTGACTGACTGACTGTAGTTGCAATTACACTTATGACATGGCAAATATGGTATCGAAAAGAGACTTAGACTGTACGTTGCAACCTGATGCATTCTCCTGTCACTTGATAGGATGCATGATCCATACCTTGACCTAGTGCACAGTGCATGATCCATACTTTGACCTACTGTATAGTAGGAAATGATCCCTACCTTTATGTAGTGCACAGTACATGATCCATATCTTGATCTTCTGCACAATACAGTACCTCTCTGTAGAGACTACTTTACACACTTACTGATAGTTTCTCTTGTCATTTTCGGTTTGCATGGCAAGGTAGATGATCTTGTTCAAACTTGTTTTTAATTCTCCATTCGAGGGATGTTGATTTGTAAGTATCTTGTAAATTCATTATTTTGATCTTTAGAAGGATTTTCTTTAGAGAGATTAGTACAGCTGCTGATTTAGAAAGTTAATTTTAATGAATAAATGTAGTTACAGGCATAAAAAGTTAATTTGTTAAAAGATCAGGTTAGAGAAATGTCAGTGAATCTGATTTTTCCCAAATGAAGTCAATATTGGTATAATTTATGTACAAATGCCAAAGTACTGTATATACTGTATATTTTATATATAGCTTTTTACTAAATCAAGTGTGCCCCTAATTTCAATGTTGTTTCATGTCCTGAGCTAACTTATTGCATTGCTCATTTATGTAAATATATGCATCCTGTTTGCTTGATGTGTGTGTGTGACGATATTTTACATCTGTGTGTCTCACTTCATCTGTTTTATGTTTTTATTTTGTCTTCATAAATACACTACTGTCTCATCTCTTCTGTCTCACTGTACACAATGTTCCTGTTTATCATCTCAACGTCTGAAGTTTCCTTTTGTCATATCATTGTCTCTTGTTTCTCATTTACAACCTTAATGTATTGTTTGCACCATCTACCATCTCACTGTAAACATTATCATCTGACTGTAAACAGTGTGTCTGTCATCTCACTCTAAACGTTGCCTCTACTGTGCCTCTGTAAACATTGTCCTTATCCTCTGCCTGTGTGTACTGTACATGCCTCACTAACTAACCCGTCTTTCTCTCTCTCCTCTTGTCTGTCCTGTTGTTGGCTGCCACAGTGCTGCGATTCTAAAGCTTCAGTCATGCTCGGCATAGACGACGGGGTAAGTCAACCAGGGATCTCTGTTGTTCCCCACCCAAGTCTTCTTGCAACGCTGATGTACTGTATTGGTCTTCCAGTCTTTTTTTATTGTTTTCTTTAATAATAAATAGTTTTTTTCTACTTTCATCTAAGAAGGATGTTAAATTTTTATTATCCTTCAAGAAAAAGTGTTGTTTTTGCTGCTCTCAGTTAAAAAAGATGATTTTCTCAATTCAGCAATGCAAAACATATTCTTTAATCAGCAAGGTTTCACAACCATTATAAGTTGTGTATTTAATTTTGCTGTTTTATACAGAGACGAGATTTAAACTATCATTGCAGTAGGTATTATAGACGATCTTCCATCCCCACCTCACCCCTGATGATCTCATCTACAGAAGGGGCATTACGTGGTGGTCAGGTGCAGTTCACGGCAAGAAGCGGAGAGGTGGCGGAGGGCGCTGGAGACCCACACGGTAGAAGACTTTGCCAGCCAGTACGTGCAGCCATGGCCCATGCCTACCAACCCCACACTCCTCAGAGACACCCTTGTTATTGACCTCGGCTCAGCCTCAGTCAGGGCAGGCATCCTCGCCTCCCAGGGTATGTATCTTTCCCAGATTATGTATATGCAGTATCTCCCAGGGTATGTACAGTCATGCGCCGGTTAATGTCATAGATACATTCTTGGAAACGTGATGTTAACCGAAATGGACGTTGTCCAAAATTACATAAACCCTATGGGATTTATTCTAATTGGTTCCAGGCACCCAACCCCAAGTTTCCCATTTTACGACCATTTAGACCCACTAAATATATATATATATATATAATGTTATGGTAATTATCAGAAACACATAGGCATGGCTAGGTTTATTAAAAAGTGATGAAAAGGGTACTGTAAAGTGGGTAGTCCACACAACATATAGCTATGTCTCTCTTTATTTGAGTGTCCCGTCAAAGAAGTCAGTTTTCTCTCACTTCAGGACGCCTGAGTCGTCCATTTTCTCTTAATCTTAGATAGTGACTTCGTTATTCCTTAGTAATGACAGAATTTGATATTGCAACTGGGGTTGTAATTGTTGAGGCAACTTAGATATGTCTGATTACAGTTGGAATATTCAAGATCCATTGTGAGTGATGTTTAAAGCTTCAACTGTCTTTATGGTTGGTAAAACTTGTCAAGTCTGTCAGTCAGAGTGGCATGTGTGAGGCCTTGTGTTTGTACAATTGCTAAATATATAAATATATAATGTTATGGTAATTATCAGAAACACACATAGGCATGACTATGTTTATTACAGAGTATTGAAAATTATACTATCAATACTGTACAGTGGGTAGTCCACAAAACATGTAGCCATGTCTCTTTATTTGAGTGCCCCGTCATAGGCGTCCGTTTTCTCTCACTTCAGGACGTCTGAGTTGTCCGTTTTATCTTAATCTTAGAGTGCAGTGCACCAGAGACTTCGTTATTCCTTAGTAATGACACAGAATTTGAAATTGCAACCCCAATTGCAACTGGGGTTGCAATTGTTAAGGCAACTAGATATGTCTGATTACAGCAAATGTGTTATTGTCAACTTTTAGGTGAAAGATTTTATCCTCAATAGATGTAGGTTAACATTACACCTGGAGGCAAATGCCTAAGGAAAGAAGGATATTCCTTTAACACATAATATCTGGCCAGTATGGGGAGGATCATCATGTCTCCGTCAGGGTGTCGTGGAGTGGTGGTCCAGCAGGTTTCACTTTTGGGGGGTGGGGGAGGGGGCACGGATTTATATGCGATCGGACTTTGTTTGGTTGGACGTTAACCAGCGCATGACTGTATATGTTACCTAGGTTATATATTCCCCCATGGAAATTCTTGGCAATTTATTCCATCCTCCTGCCCCCAGCTACCCTGCCCCAAGTGTTCGTGCCCTCCGTGGTGGCTACTGACCGGGAGAGTCGACGACAGGTGTGGGGTTACGATGCCCTAACTCCAGACGTCCGAGCTTCCTCCTGCGTCTCCTTCCCCATCAGACCGTCGCACAAGATCTCAAAGGTATGACACGGTATTCTAATTGTAGTGTCAGCTTCTTGTATTGATTGTTGCAGTATACAATATTTTGGGGAAGTCAGTGAATGGTGGGGACAAAAGATGTCTGACTGCTTGTAGGATATAGAAAACGTATATATATACACACACACTTTTTTTTTAATGAATTGTTGTTATAATTTCACTTAGAAAATACAGTGCTGTACTGTACTGTATATGTACTGTACTTATTCTTATAGAAAACGAAAGTTATTCTTGTGTAAATGAACACTTTATGGGCTTAACATAGTATATCTTCAAGTGCTGTACCTACAAAGGCATTAAATGTGAAATGAGATTTTTAAAGTATGTCATCCCCATCCTGCAGTACTCTGTGGACCTGAGTGCCGTCTCAAGTCTCCTGCAGAAGACCTTTGCCGACCTGAAGGTAGATCCCAAGAACTACCACGTCCAGCTGTCAGTGCCCAGAGTCCTTAACACCAACACCCAGACGGAACTCCTGCGCGTTCTTTTTGACAAGTACGGCGTCAGGTCCGTCAACCTGACTCACCAGTCCATCTTAGCCCTGTACGCCTACAACGCCACCTCCGGCATTGTTGTTGATGTTGGCGAGAGGATGGACATTGTGCCTGTTATTGATGGTTCGTACTTTGACCCACATTAAAAAAATTCATTCAGAAATACCATTATAAGTATACTGTACTGCACTGTATTATATAGGTTAGATCTTAAGTAATACAAGTGCACTAATTTCTCTACGGTAACAATATCATGTGATGGACTGGATACAAGTATTGTGATTGATGTATTGTATTTTTACTTGTGAGCAATGTGTGATTAATTGTTAGTAAAGTATTTTGACATGATTAAGGTTCTGTGATTGATGATCGGTGTTTCACTTTGTTGACAAGTGAGTTTAACGTTGAACACACAGAAAATTATATGAAAATTTAATATCATGGTTCAGATATTTCTCATGCCTCAAATACTGTATGTATGTACTGTACTGTATGTCTCTTCTCATAACACATGAACTAACAGATAGATGTTTGTACACTGCATGGTTTGTGTGTGGTACTGCATATTAATTCTGTTGCAGCACAAAATTTCAGAAACTTTACTGTACAGTATTTATGAGTAATTACAGTATAGGTACATTGTATTGCTAACATTATTTATTCCATACTTGTACTGTACTATAAATACCATCACACTGTACTGTACTTCCCTTCTGCAGGATATATTGTGGATGGCGGTGTCTCCCGAGTGCCTTATGGTGGATACCGCATCCTAGACCACTTGCGTCAGTTCCTCTACATGAGGAACGTCTCTCTCATCAATGAAGTTGAGAGTTACATCATCAGACAAGTGAGTACTTGGGGGTAAACACTGTACCTGTCTAGTGGTGTTTTGCATATGTGTTGGTTGACATGTATTATTTCTTACCGTGTCAGTTATCTTCTAATTATCCACATATTTACGGTAATTACTCGCCACATGGGTTTTCAAGGTCACTTTTTGGTGCTTGTGTATTATTCTGGATGTAGTTAGGCACATTAAATTTTAGTTCTGAGAGAAAAAGTATTTTTGGCCAAAAATCCTGTGAAACCTCCAAATAATAGACTATGGGAGAGGGAAGTCTATTAACTTGAGCTTCTTTAGAAATGAAACCTCCAAATAATGCATAAAACCTGTTACATGGAGGCTACACTGTAAATACCCAACACTAAAAGTTTCTAGGAGAGGAATTTCCATCTATCATCATAGTGGGTCCGTAACGTGTACTGTAGTACTAACGCTGGACATTTTGGGTACAGTATTTTGTCCAGTTTTTAATAAATTCAGTATAAATTGCCAAGTACACAGTTGGGAATTTAGGCTTTCATAGATAATTTAATTTTTCTTAGAATATTTGGTTAACTTAAACTTAATCCTGATTCTTAGATCTTATGGTCATCTGTTTTCTACACATTTCAAGTTAACTACTGTAATCATTCATCTCTTCGATGCTTTATCATGCATTATTTTGTATTAATAAATTTTGGTGCTTTCTCCCTGATGTAATTCTCGTCTAATTTACACTCAATAACAAGATCTATGACTATATATCACCGAGGAAGAATCAAGCTTCAGTCATTTTTAACATGTTAGTGGATATTTTTCTCCAGTAAATAATGTTCTTGGTGTGTGACAGGTGCTGGAGAACATATGCTACTGCGCTCACCACTACAACACAGAGAAGGCTCGCTGTACCAACAACTCGGACAACTTCGAGAAGAGCGTCTCCCTCTCTGAGTATTTCCACAGCAAAGATTGTCCCTATGAGTAAGTACAGTTCATTGCCACTTTTGTTATCGTAATTCTATAAATCTATTCTGTAAAATACTATTGCATTTTAGAATACAGTATAGTCCCTAATATGTGAACTAATTGCTTTTATAACTTATTTTGGTCTTACAAAGTTGGTTGATCATTTTGTCTACTGTATTTCTTTTTCCATTCAGTTGCCATTGGTTAAATTCTCCACACAGTTGTATTGGGTTCACTGTAGCTACCATAAGCTTCACATTTTAGCTCATTATACACAGTTAATGAACCCTTTTAATTTTGCCCTTAGTTTACGGATTCACAAGTCTCTGTGTCCTTAACCAAGTAATCTTATATTCTAGGAGTATTTCCTTGGACTTTGGGCGTTTCCAAGCCACGGAAGGTCTTTTTAACCCAGATGCTTGGGGCCTTGACCATCCTGGATTACACAAACTTGTCCACAAAGCCATTATGGTAAGTAGACTTTCCCACTACACAACACAACTTGCAAGCACCGTGGTTCACTTTTACACAATGACAAAATACTGACTCATTACCACTTGATACAATATTTAGTTTTCTCTTCTTAATGTGACTCTAGAGTTCATATGTTAGGTCTATGTACTGACCAAGTAGTTACTTCTGCATAATCCGGAACTTGCAGTGTGCAATGGTAGGCTGCCATGACGGGGAATTCAAACCAGTATATATTGCAACCACTATCGGAAAAAAGAAAAATGATGATTGTGTACAGTCTTAGGAAGTTAATCTATAATGATAAAAGATTTTGAAACAGAACAATATACACTATACATCTAACCTAACAATCCTTCATTAAGTTTGATAAGATTAGCTTTGGTTAGATTATGGTGCGGACTTTCATTCCATAAACTTGACTATTTGGTGGCGAGTTCTGCTTCCAACACAGTAAATTAGTCATGTGTTTCTTTGACTAGTTCTGTAATAGATTAGTGTATCAAAATTAGGACATAATAGAGGACAAGTTAATTACATATGTTGCACTTTACTCTCAGGAGTGCAGTATGGACATCCGGAAAGAGATGAGCCGCAGCATCTTCCTGGCTGGTGGAGTGACCCAGCTTCCAGGGCTTGTTGACAGACTTACTACAGAGATTGACAACCTAACACCTCCAGCTATCCGACCAAAGGTAAGGAACATGTAATCTCTTCTAGCCATCCTACCAAAAATATGGTTTCTTTGATAACCCAACTCTTCCTGATAACCAGACACTTCTTATCTTCCTTCCAAAAATAAGGTCCTATGACAGCCTAATTTATTTAGACATCATCCCACAGTCCTATGGCAACATGACACCTATCTATCCTCTGAAAACAAACATATACTTGGTGTTTGAAGGTATTTTTCTTTAACAACTTAAAAAACATTGAGTAATTGTTTGAACAGGTGTTGAGAGTGTAGATATTTCCTCCAATCTCATTGCAGCCAAGTTCTGTGAGTGTCAGCTGCAGGTTAAACATTTACAGGTTTGCATTAGGATTTATAAAGTCTTTGGCATTAACAATATATAACAATACTGTAATAATTCCTTAACCAAGAGTGATTTGTAACAATAAAAACAGTTCAAGCCTGATTGTTGGAGCCTTAAGACTATCATTATCATCCTGGAGTATCTAAAACCAAGTGGTAGTACTGTACACCCCAGAGTTTGCCAGTCATCATCATCTTTAAAAAAAGTCACATTTACATTAAATTATTCCTAAGACTCAAAACCCCAGCAAAACAAATAGTTTGACATCATATTTGTATTTGGTCTCCAGGTACACGCCTCCCCATACCGCTACCATGCGGCTTACATTGGTGCTTGTGTCCTCGCCGAGTCTCCAGCCTTTGCTCAGTCCAGAATCTCCCGCGAGGACTGGAACAAGCACGGCAATGCAGCGCTCCGAAAATGGACTCTCTGAGGATCCACGAAAAAGTTGAAAAGTCGTACTGGGTAGTCTTAGGTGGGGGGAGAGGATAAATTATCCAAAGTATATTCCGCCCACACATGGGGAGATACTGTAAAGTATACACAAGTCATTATGTACCTTGGATGATGCTATAGTCCAGGCAAGGTTTTGGACGCCCCAGTAAATCGTTGTTCCTGTTGTTAACGGGGAAAACCGGAACTGCCTGGCTCCTAAGTGACCATTCCCTTTAATATTGTCACCATTTGGATTCCTTAAAGTGTGCAGGTTAAGCACATTACTGTTTTAAAAGAGGAACAGTGATGTAGGAAGGGTCCGTAGTAAAGGAGTGCCAAGAGGCTCTATAACGTGGTGAAAAATTTCCTACTAGTGAACCGTTAAGCCTTTCTGCTCACTTTGCAACACTCGCCCTACGTGATAATAGACTTATACGGTGCAAAACATTACGCAACTGATGATTTAAGCTTTCCCACTAAGGCGCCTCAAGAAAAATTTGCAACTTGCTTAGTAGTTGTGTTGTTTGATGAATTACATCATTTATTTAATGTTACTCACATATACAATATATATATATATATATATATATATATATATATATATATATATATATATATATATATATATATATATATATATATATATATATATATATATATATATATATATATATATATATATTACACACACCAAATTGTCTATATATTTAGTTATATATACTTTTAAAAATTAAACAACTTTATATGATGTATAAAAAGCTTTCTTTTTACGCACAAATTTCAAAGATTTTATTTACTGATTTTATGATTCACAAGTACATCAATAAATTATCAATGCCAACACAGGCTTGTACAGTACTTGTAGTCAGTGTTTCCTCTGTTAGTCAGCTGTGGTGTGAACTGGTCAGTATGAGAGTGAGGGAGGCAGGTCCGGCCTCCCTCGCACAGTGCTCCTCACCACACTTGCATGATCCATCCTGTATCATGATGTATAATTTGTACATATGTATCTTAGGCAGGGAAAGGTTAACTTATTTTTCAGTGTGTAATATACAGTTGCAGTTGTTTACTTACATTAAATATATTTGTATATGAGAAAATATTGATTTTAATTTTACCCATTTTATGGTTCAAGTGTTATATAACAAGCAATTTTTGTTAAATAATTATTTTAAAATACATTACAGTACAGTCATATTCATGTACAGGGGGGGGGGGGGTACTGTTTATCCTGCTAGTGATACAGTACTAAGTTTCTTTACAATATATAGAGGGGTTGAACTGATGTAACAGAACACATGTGTAACGAAGCTAATGAACCTGATGTACACGATGGAATATATGAGTCAGTTTTCATAATTACAGTACTCTACAGCCTTTTGTTTATACCGGGGTGCACAAGACTAAACTAAATAAAATAAATCAATGTACCAGTACATAGATATACTGTACTGTATACAGTACATAACTACTGTAGTAGTAAAGCAGAAAGCTACAAAAAAATATGTATCCATTGACCTCAGACTCAAAACTGACCTACCTGGTCATTTACAAATTATCTCATATCAATATAGCTATAGTATTCTCTTCATTTTTTGTGTCTGTCTTTACAGGTGAGTTGACTGCAATTAAGAAAGCACTGGTGAAGGTGTAGTCATTACGGATCATTTGAAGATTAGTGTCAAGGTTTTAATATGTCTGGATGGTACATGGCTCGCCGGGTGCCTTATCTCTAGTAAAACAAACATTGGAGTTGAGTAGCATGGGTAAGTCCAATGCAACCCATGACAATTAGGCACCAGAGCTTACAGTATTTCACTTGATGTTTAGGCAAAGATTTTATTTACACTGTAGGAAGATGGCTCAGTCACCCTGACTGTGGCACTGCTAAGTTTAAACAATTGTTGACAGGCAAAGATTAAAGTGAGAGAGATACACATTTCGGTGAATGCATTGTTTTTCATTGTCTTGTTTACATTTGACCAAATAACTATCCTTACAAAATTGTGTTAGACAACAGACAAAAGATTTTGACATCCCTACTGAGACAACAGGAGTCATAGTGTTCATTCTGAAATTCGTTGACCCTCTAAACTCGGGTAGTTTTTAACTGACTCTACATTATTTTGCCTTTTACAATGGGATACAATTACTGTGCAGCTATTAATTGTTCCAACAACACCAGAAGGAACAGACTGCAGAAGCGACCCCATGGGACCTATTAGAGGCGGCCCCCCCCCCCCATGGGACCTAAAGCTTCCTTGCGTACGTCCAGCAATCCCTTATTTAACTGTGATGGTGTACTAAATGTAAATATACTAAATAACAACCAATATGAGAACAGAGCAGTCAGTCAGCACAACACCCCAACTTATGTTTTCCTGTTGGATATTTATTCTCCTTTACATTGTTCATGATGCGATGATACTGGAAATGCGATGGCCGGTACATTTCTTTAACATATATCTATCCCATTGTGCTAAATAGTGCAAAAAAAGCGGCCTCCAGGGGCCCTATAAAGGCAGCGCTCCCTGGGGCCCTCCCATTTGACGTACAAGGTGCATCGTTCCCATAGGTGTTTTGGAATTGTGCAAACTACAGACTCCAAATCTTAAATTCACTACATGACCAGACCTCTAATTTAACCTAATTTCGACTGAACATTGAAAGACTACGGGTCAATATTTAGTATTGCAGTGGTCTATTATGTCAAAGATGGAAGTTCATATTTTTATTTATAGGTTTGATTTTCAAATGTCTTATTTGGAATTTAGTATTTTACCACTTCTGGTGTTATCAGACATTACCAATGTAACGGGCCGAGTCTTCTCTTTTCATAAATTACCCTTCAGATATTCTTTTATGATTATTCTTCAATTCTTTAGTTATAAGTATACTTTAGATTCTTATACAAGTAATTCTCTTCTCAGTTATGTATGTTCTTTATCTTAAACTTTCACGATATATATATATTTAATAATTTATATGCCGTTTCATTAGTTCCACAATGTACATACCTGTCTTATGTTTCTTTTCTTGTACTTTCCAAGTCTTTCATTTCGTTCATATATATTATATTCTCAGTTTGTGTTCTTTTTTTTACTTTTACTTTTATCCTCTTCGCCACTGGGGAACCATGTTACTCTTAGTACAACTCTTTTTATACTTACACAGGATAGCTGCCACCACCCAGACTTTTCATTATATAACATAACTCATGGAAGGGTTTTGGGTAGTGTGGTAGATGTATAGGCACGTGAGTATTATTTTCTGGGAACCAATGTGTAGAGTGGTGATACTCGTAGTTTACTAATTCAATATTTATTAACACAGTGGAGAAGATGCACCTTAGATTCACTCAGGCTAAACAGAACCGCAATTAACTTAAGTCATCAAACACTTCAAGAACTTATTCCCTCATTAACCACCTCCAAATACTTATTATACCATTAAACAACTCCAAGTACTTAAACCATTCAACAACTATTACTTCATTCGACAACTGTGGTCTTATTTCTTTGACAAGTAAGATTTAGAAATGACTACACACTGTCAATAACACTGGACCCGCAGGTCTTACTTTAACAAGGAACAAATTACCTCCTCAATTCTTGGTTAGAACCTTATCCTCAGGTTATTCTTTCATGGTTACTACAGATGAATACATAACATACAATATTTCTTATCAGTTCACAAGGAACCACCTGGTACCTTGAACTCTCATTCAGTGGTTCAATACTTAACCCGGGATACTATATTTCTGCTAGTTATCCCTCCAAACATGGGCCGACACTGCCCCATGCAATAGATGAGGTACAATCTCCAGGTGGAGTCAGCGGGCACAGTTGTTTACAGCGACCGCCAAGCTGAAGGCTCGCTCACTAGGTGCACCCAGGGAGGTTGACTCGTGGCACACTGGCAGAGTGGTGAGGGCGCTTCCCGGGGAAATCGTGTCCTGGGATTCTAAACGCGCCCCCTTAGAGACAGTCTTCAAGAACCATCTTGCCCATAGGTAGCTACCGACCCTCAGGAGAGTTGCTAACACACCCGCGTCTGGAGACGAAATCACAGAAGGAGTGAGTTTTCCTGGCGCGCCGGCATATTCCTACTAGAAAGACTAATTTTACTAACAATAGGCCCTCTATTCGAAGTAGTCAGTGGACACCTAGCTGTGACCGTCAGTGTCACAGATCAGGTTAATTTTCTACATCTATATTAATGATTTAATCAGATATTGAGTTTGTCAGTAAAGAGGTGAAATGGAGTTATATATGCGTTCGCAACTCTATTGGCCTGACCGCAAACCACATCCCCGGTCAAACGGCCGTTAAGTCTTGGAGAATTTTGAGTTTGACAGGAACTGTTCAGAAGATTAAGGACTTTCTTAAATAGACAACTGACATTAACTAAATCGTAAACATCAGATTCTGTGATGTCGGGGCGACAAAATAATATAACTTCAGTAGCGATCAGAACTCATGGGTATCCCGACGGACGACATAAAATACGCCACTCTAGCTGGCAAACTCGACACTCGCTTACTTGACTCGTCTTACTAACAATAAGGACAGTTAAACGTTCTACACCACTCACAATGGATCTTGAATGTTCCAACTGTAAACAGACGTATCTAAGTTGACTCAAAACAAGGGTGTTCTCTCTCACACTCAAATTCATTTTATAGAGAGGTCGGTTTCAGTAAGCTAGAGGAAATGGGATAACGGAGGACTGAGGTGTCTTGAAGTGATGGGAAACGGACTCCTTAGATGGAGGACTCCAAATAAAGCAGAGTCACACGTTTTGTGGGCTATTGAGCGTAATATGAATAATTTCATTTTGGCGTTAACTGACGTGCAAGACCGTGGTCGTTACACCAAGATTAGTTTAAACTAGTGAAGATCGAACTATAGTACAGGGCCACTCAGGATACGAGAATGTGTACTTTGAACGATTGGAAAGTAAAAACCCACATTAATTTCGTCATTTGTCCGTTGGGTTATGTTGTGAAGACGTAATACTATTTTAAGATGAATAGAACGGTATTTCCCGAAGCGTTTAACAGCATCAAGTAGAGTACAGTATTTGAGAACTATTTCTGGACAAACAACAGACGTAGTCGAGATTGTATTATACTCTGGGTTTTGATTCAGTAAAAGCAAGGATTTAGATTATTCCATAAAATATAAATAAGATAATTTTATTGGTTACATATACTGTATATTAATATGTACAAGTTTGACTTTACTTGCACAGAATGTAATGCAATACAGCTCACGACCCACGAAAGGGGTTGAAGAAATAACAAAGATGCTGGAAAACAGTTTTTTGAAGAGACAAATTGCTTGTAGTTTAACACTAATAAGCTCCCTCTAAAGCTGTGGGAAGGATCCACTAACCGCGGTAGAACCGAGTAGGAAAGTAATTGTTGCGATGGAGTTCTCCAGCAACAAGTAAAAACCCAAGACAACGTTTGTAGAAGCTCCTAATTGTTCTTGTGGTCACACTGCAGCTCCCTCGGTCATATAGGGTTCACGGTCGTTTAAGGAGCGTGTTCTAGAAATAGAGTAAAAAGCAAGAAGATTAATGTAGTGTTAGCCTGGCGGAATGGTTTAACGCCAAACTTCTGTAAAATGCTTAGTTTAGTTAATATCAAGACTACTAAAATTTACCCTGTCTCGTCAAGTGAAAGTTCAAACAATAGCTACCCATTCACCAACAAATAATTTACAAACCAAATATTTCAAAATACACTTACACTACTATACAGCAGATGTTGTAGCGTCGTCGTGTACCAGTGTTCTGTGTTCACGTCCGTCTACCAGGGTTTATATACAGGCGGCCCACACCCCCTGACCAATCACAAGCTGTTTTAGGTTATGTTTTAACCAATGGGAACATTCTCTTGTTATGACGTCAAAGTGACATCATGCCGAAGTGAAACGCCGGCAATGGTTGTTTGATGACGAGTAAACGATTGAAACTTTAGTGTGACACGAAAGAAATGTAAAACGTGAAAGGCAAATATTCTGAAATGGTATGCACCGGTTTAGTTATCTTGGATAGAAATTGTGAATATATTACAAGAGCAGCAATATTGGCCTCAGACATTGTTAAGAGACATATACCATAAAATAGTACTATTGTAATTTAAAAAAAGTCAAAGCCTAAAAAGTTAATATGACGAATAAAATAAGATGACAAAGTACAGTGATAAAGAGAGAAAAACAAACCACTGAGTTAATATTAACCTTTACTTGAAATTGACCAGAAACACTAAAATTAACAAAAGACAGACATATGTTACAAGAATGGAGAAGAAAACCTACACGTTAGAACAAAGTAGAGTAGAGTGGTGAGCAGGGCCGGATTGAGGAGTGGGCAGTTGGGGCCTCCACATATTACAATATTTTATGTATTTGTTTAATCATTTGGATTCTTTGTAAATTTCATTCTTTAAAATTCATGTTTATCACGTGATAGAAATTAGACTAGCTAATATTTGAAATTGACGAATAGCTGGTTTTCCTATGAACCGTATATTTTTAATGAATGCTATTGTTTGTGTTGCTAATAATATGAATTGCGGAACTCGTAGATGTTTAGGTTCGCTTCACTCGCCACCCCATCCTCTTGGGGTAGTTATAATGAGGGGGGCCTCTACAGGTCTAAATCCGGCACTGGTGGTAAGTGCTGTTTGTACTCGTAAGCTTCCCCCGAGGAGAGTAAGTTACATACACCAGTTGACATAGCAATGGTTAGAGAGATATTTACTATAACAATTTGATAATGATTTATTGGGTCAGGTCTCACCTCACACGTACTACAGTGAGTAAATGTGGTACCTGATAATAAAGTGTAAATTTATCTCAAGGAATTATTATATAACATTTAGTATCATGTGGATTAGTAGACGTAACATTGTTATAATTAAGTTATAAATATACTATACTGTACGTAAAGTATTTTACGGTAAATTTTACTCGGGTCGTGACTTGACCGGTGATAGTTGTCACCAAGGAATGGAGATGTGGGGTATCTTGTTATTTGCATCTTGGAAGGAAACTTTATTGATTTCGATACTGCCACCGTAGGCTGTGAGTTGCTATCATAACTTTTTGGTTTGGTAGCTTATCACAAATTGTGTGGTCCCTATGGTGTAAATACCCAAGAGCAGTTTATGTGGGATAATCCCCTCGTTTGGTTGTGACGGTGTTTACCGGAGAAGAAGTTCGGTTGAGCAGCGAGCCGGCGGCAAGGTGGGGTATATAAAGGGTGAACCGGCAAGGATGGATCAGTTACAATCCGATCCTTGTGTCTGGTGTTAGAGCTCGTGTATAGCGACATAACAAAGTGTAGTTTGTGAAGAAGAAAAGAAAAGTATAGTATATAAATTAGTGTTTAGACATTTGTTCGTTTTGCTGTTAGTGTTGTGCATTCGAAATGTTTTCTCAAACATTTTTCTGTGGTTTTTAACACAAGTCATAGATGTATTTGACTTGAGGCCTGTGGAACATATTTAAGATTTGTGTCTGGTTAACTAGGGAGATTTTGAAGGTGTTCATAATTGAAGTACTCGGAGTACAGAATATTTAAATTGAATACCGTAGTTTAATTTAAATAAAATCCTTTAAGTGTGTATCGTGTAAAGTGTTTGAAAAAGTTGAAGTGTTAAAAGTGTCTTTTGTGAATATCGCGGAATATGTTTTGTTTTTGCAAGAAATCGTGTTGTCATTTCGTTGATGAGTGACGGAAAGTGAATTCATGAGCATGAAGATTGTGTAGCAAGTTCATTATTGAAATATTCTCTAGACATGAAGTTGTTTGGATGCGAACTTCAATGCAGTTTTAAGTGATGGTGGTGGAATCATGAAAATGAGTGAGAAGAAAAGAAAGCTGCAGCATTTGTGTGCCTTGAGCTTGGACAGTACATAGTGATAAGTGATCGTGGTGGATCTTGAAAATGAGTGAGAAGAAAAATAAGATGCAGAATATATGTGTACATTGAGCTTAGACAGTTCATAGTGATCGTAGTGGAATCGTGAAAATGGGTGAGAAAGAAAAGAGATGCAGCATTTGTGTGTCAAGTAGTAAACCATACTGGTGTGTGTTTTGATGTGTATAGTAGAAGATTGGAGGTGTTGTGCTTATAGTGATCCCATCAACCGGAGAAGTAGATAAGAAAATAAATCTTCCGACAGCGACCTTTTGGTAAACGAGGGGTGAGGGCAGGTAAGTGACTATGAATGTTGAGTTTATTTAGCGAGGTAAAGTTAGGGATTTGACATGAGCGAGAGAAAGGTTGATTTTTGCAGAGACGTGACCGGCACAGAGGTAGAGCCAGAATTTAGAGTTTAGGTGAATGAAATTTTTGAATGGGTGTTGTGTTTGTGCTGTTATATACTGGAGGCTATATAATGGTACTACACTCTCGGTTGTGTGTGTGTGTGTTTATGGTCGTATTTTGTTGTCATAGATAGGGGCTAGGTAAGGTGGTAGTGTGCCGGTTGTTATGGTTCATGTGTTAGTTTCATACGCAGACTAGAGTGTTATTAATTGTTATTGTGTATGTGCTTTTGTTTCAGTAATTTTGAGGTGCTTCTTGTAAATGTTCAAGTTGAGTGGTAAGTACTGTACTGTTTTCTGAAGTTGTTTATTATGGTATATGTGAATTGATTGTAATTTGACATTGATTGCTGTCGGAAAGTCATATTTGATTTGTTGCCATAGAAGGTAATATAACGTCAAAATAGTATTTAAATTTGGTTAGTGTTAGATGGGTTTTGAGAAAGTGATTGAAAGCTGAACCTTGATGCCTTTTATTGCAGGTGTACGGAAGGCTTATACTGTGGAATAGAGAAGAGAACGTGGCCTAAGTTTGTAAGTGGTGGCTAGCGCGTCTACACTTGCGGTGAGGAAATCGTCAACATGGTATTTAAAAGGGAAGCTGTAGTTGTTTTTGACTAAAGAGAAGTGGTAGCTGTAATAAGAAAATTGTTAAGTGGTTCATGGGTAATATATTTTTATTGAGAAATAGTGTAAGTTTTATAGGTTGTGTAATAAATAAATTTTTTCAGGTTGTTGGAGGTGGAAGGAGCCGGTATTTTTTGTGCTAGAGAAGGGGAATAGTGATGGGTAAGTGACGTTGAAGTTTCTAAAATAGTTATGAAAATTGAACTAGATTTGTGGTCTTGTGCCGTAGAGTAATAGAAAGGTTAAAAGTTGACATTAAAATCAATGATTGTGGCTTGAGTTTGGTAATGTTAAGTTTAAAATGTTGAATTTTGTGCTCCGGCTGTAGATTAAAGGAAATGTAAATGAGTTTTGATAAATTGAGTTTATTATATAGTAGAGGTAGTGATAAAGTTTTGATAAATGGGTAACGAGTGACCTTTTTTCAGGTTGGTGTCGGTTCTTTAGTGCAGCCAAAAGTGCCTAGTTTATAGTAGACGGGCAAGGGGAGACTTAAGTGTGGTGTATAAACCAGTGAAAGGGCACTACTTAGTCGAGGAACCCTACCTGTAGCTGACTGACGCCCGCCTCACAAGGGGTCACAGCCGAAGTGGGGGCGCCGGCGGTAGTGCGGTACCGCTCTCGCCTCGCAAGCGAGACGTCTTGGGTTCGATTCCCGGGCCGGTGGAAAGTGGGTTGGACACCCTTCCTATACCCACTCGGTCCCTGTTGACCTAGCAGTAAAGTAGGTACCCTTTGTAAATCGAAAGTTGCGAATTCGTATTTGGGGAAAGTGGTCGGAGCTAGCCGACCAACTTTTAAAGACTGGAGGGTTGTACGCCCTTGACCAAAAATGGTATGACCTTTTAGGCAAGCACAAAATTGGCATGCTGCCTAGTTGGGCGGTGTAGGCGGTTGTGCCCTTGACCTTGCACTTGAATAAGGGGGGGGAGGGGGGATGCCCCTCTGCCCCCGTGTCCAAAAAAAGTGTGGTAATGAGAAATCGAAAAATGGTGGAGTAGAATATAGATTTGTGTTGACTGTATCGACTAACCAAGAGGAAGTATGCTCGCCATGCAGAGGTGGGGGAGAAGCCGATGTTGGAAAGGAGACAAGTGTTGTAACCAGTCGCCCTGTGGAGCATGTGCTAAAAGGTAATGTACACTGTTAACTGGTTGAAGGGGGGGGGGTCCGTTTGATATGAAAATGAAGAGGGACTTTGGTTGTCGTTACTGATGTGGTAATTGTTTTCTACAGGAGTTGTTGCAGTCCAGAAGATGTGATTGGTGTGTGATAATGGAGAGGGACATTAACGGTCGACTGAATGAGAGCCAGTAAAGGTGTAAGTATTGAAGTTGTAGCTATACTTTGTTTTAATGTGAAGAGTATAGTATTTGTAACACGACGTATTGTTTTTCCTGTTTTCATGTTGCCGTTGGAGGAATATGGGCGAATTGTTGAGAGGAGTACGTCGACATTGGATACTGTGATGTAAAATTGCGCAATGTATTATTTGAAGGTGAGTTGTTATTGTATTTGAAAGTTGTAGGTAAAGTTTGTTATTTGTGAAAAGTTTTTGTATAAGCGGCAAGTGATATGAGTTTTTTCGGGTAGTAGTACCCATTGACTCGGTGATAATGGTAGGGATTGTGTGTTGAGGGGTATGAGACTTGCTTTGACTGCAGTTAGCCAGAGGGCGCAAAAGTGTGTGGTTTATACTAGAGACGGTTGAGTGTTGATAATTGGCGGTGTATGTGATATTGTCACAGAGTGTAGGAGTACATGTGAGGAATAGTTGGTGCAATAGGAAATGAGTTAAGTTGTTTATGGATAAGAATATAGAGTTGAAGTGTGTTTTTGGTAATGAAATAATTTGTGTTTTCAGGTTGTGGAGGTGGAAGTGCAGGTATTGACTAATTGGACTACTGATGGGTAAGTTGACTTTGTATTTGAAAGTTGAGAAGAGGTGATAGGAAAAGTGAAATCGAGTAATATGAAGTGTTGGCCCTTTGCTGTACTGTAAGTAATGTAAAAAGAAAGGTTTTAATGATGATGGTGATTTAGAAGTTGTAGGGAGTTTTTGTTTTAGTTTGTAAAATGTGTTGGTAGAAGGTTGTGGTAAGCAGTGTGAAGATTAAAGTAAGTTGTTTATATAGGGCGTGTAAGGTTTATGAATTGTTGTGGTGGGAACTAATGTGTTGAATTGTTTGTTTTTAAGGCCGGATTGGAGTTTTTGGAATGGTAGGTGGCAGTGATGGTGGAAGAGGCAGTGGTTACTCGGCGACGGAGATGGGAGCGAAAGGGTAAGGAGCCGATTGTTTGTGTTAAAGAGGAAGCGTTTGTTTGAATTTGGGTAAGATGAAAGGTGAATTTGTTGTGGGTATGTATTGTAATTGTAGAGAATTTAGTTGGTAGCAGGCTAGTATTGTTGTTACACACTGGAGGCTGTGTAATGATTGGTACTAGCCTTGGTGAATGGTTTGTAGTAGAGTATGTGTATATTGTTAAGAAGTTGGCTTTTGTAGTGTATGGTGTGGTTTAAAAGGAAGAAGTTTGGTTTTCGTAGATATGGGTTTGCCGAGGTAATGCTTAAGAGTGAGTTTTTGTTGTAGGCAAGCCACTAAGAATAAGAGGGACGTGTTGATCCTGAAGGAGATTGGATGCATGAACCTTTTTGGAATGGTGTTTATTATGGATTTGTTTTGTTTTTTTTCAGTGGTGCATCGGTTGTAGATGTTGTCGTGAGAAAGCATCGGAGGTGACGATGTGGTGGTTATGAAGAGGACCGTCTTGTACGTATAATGTATTTGATGGGAAAGGCCATTATGAGTTGACGTCCATTGTTAGTGGGAGACTGGCAGTTGTCGGGTAAGAAATTGGAATTTGCTAAATGTTTTTTCCGTTTCAGAGTGTAGCGATGGGGTGAAGTCGCTTTGGCCAAGTTGCCGTCGAGGATTACGTGTGTCTGTGACCGGGGTGTATGGAGCCGAGATGTTGTCGTTTGAACGTATAGCCGTCGTCCCTGTGATTGGAGCCGAGATGATGTCCTGTGAACGTCTAGCCGTCGTCCCTGTGACTGGAGCCGAGAAGATGATGTCCTGTGAACGTCTAGCTGTCGTCCCTGTGACTGGAGCCGAGAAGATGATGTCCTGTGAATGTATAGCCGTCGTCTTGGTGTATGGAGCCAAGAGATGTCATGAATGTATAGCCGTTGTACACCTGCGACTGGGGTTGAGAAAGAAGATGATGTCCTTCCAGACGTGTAGCTGTTGTCTCAGTGATCAGGGTGTATGGAGCCGAGAAGATGATGTCCT